AAGTACATAAGATTGTATTGTAGATATTAGTATTTGAAACTGAGTTAGAAAACTGAAATATTATATGAGTTAATAATGCATTAAAGGGAATGTATAAAAATGTTTAAGATTTAACAATAGAGTTTAACTTTCTATAGAATATTGTTTTACTATCTTATAAACTTAATTCTCTCTTTTTTTATTATTCTAAAATGTAATACTTAGAACGTACTAAGCAGAATCAGTATGGAAAGTATGTATTATTAAATTTAGGGGAAAGATAAAAAGTTGTTATACTTCAACTAGTGATTACAGGAGAAATATTGTATTAGAAAGAAAAGATAGATAATTGAAAGAGAACGGACAAAAGATGCAAGTATAATTATCTAAATTGAGATGAAATAAATAAAATAGAATTAAGAGAGTGAATGAAGAGAGAAAATATATAGAAAATATAGAATGTTAAATAAGATATGAAATAGTATATTAAGTGAGCATGAATTTGATTTATGTCTGTACAAAAAGATGTAACCCGGGGTAAGCCGCTTTCCAGAAAGAAGTTTTATGTATTTATGTTTTGTGTTTTGTTTGTCTATGTTTGAATTAATAAAACGCTAGAAGAATGTTGGAAGAGAATAACGAAATTGTAAATAAGACAGATGGATACAATGAATATATACAATTCAAGGCAAAAGAAATATAATTGAACAGAAGGAAAGGGAGAAATAAAGAGAAGTTGGGAAAAGATATGAAGTTGAACAGATAAGATAAATATACATATTAAACTGTGTTTGTATGGAAATGTGATAATTTGGAATTGTCTTTAAATAAGATGTTTTATTTGTTTTTCAGAAAAGATGTCCTATGTTATTATATTCTACGTTTTGTTTGTTTGTGTATTGTTTTTAAAAATTAATAAAATTTATTTGTTTTTTTTTTTAAAAAGCCACAGGACATGAAATTAATTTTGAAGGAACCAAATTAATATCCAACACTGAACACTCCAGCAAGAGAATAATCAGGGAAGCCATTGAGATAGAGAAACACCCCCATAACATAAACAGACGGGACGACACCTCCTGCCTACCAGACATCTGGAAGCTAGCCCTCACCAACAAACGAGTCCCAGCCACGACAACCAACACCAGACCCGAAACAACATGGGACATCACCGCCAATCCCCCTCATCAGACCCAGGCCCAAGCCCATCCTATAAACAAAGGACAACCACCATCCAGAAACCAGACCACGGCTGCTTCGCCAGCTGTCATACACCCCGACCCCCAAACCAAACAAGCTGACACACGTCAAGAACACAGACCCAGACCCCAAACTCGAAGCTAGACTAAAACCAAGAATGCTACATCACGGCCCCCCGCTCAGGATATCACATCAGAAAACTCAGGAAATTACACCACAAGAACTCAAGAAGTTGCAACACAGCAAACAACCCAGGATATCACAGCACAAGACCAAGTATACCACAGCAATAAATCTCACAAGGTCATCACACAACCCATTACCCAAGCCGTTACAACACAGGAGGCTAATGGAAAAGAGATCAAAACACAAACGACCCAGGAGATTACAACGCAGGACCCAGGATACCACAACAAAAGAACTCACAAGCCCATCACACAACCCATTACCCTATAATGACATGGGAAAATACCCAAACAAAGCTGAATACCATACATACATACATACATACACACACACACACACACACACACACACACACACACCAGAGATTAATTGCTATTAAAGCAAATTTGTTTTAATTCTGCTCTTCATTTTCTGCTGTGGCAATCCAGAAAAGGGATGTGATAAATGTTTTAGTTAATATGGTATTATTAACATAATAATCATATTTTCCATTTTCTATCTTCTCCCTAATTTGAAAGAAATGAGCCAAAGCCACATAACCTGGATACAATCTAATTATGTAATTAAAAGAATTGCTCTTCCTATATTTGTTTTATATGGATAATAAAGAAAGCCATGAAATTGAGCTCACAGTATCTATATTACTGGCAACATTTTGAGGAAAATGGCTGTTTTCAAAGTAGTGCTAAGGCTACCTCTCCCGTGATGAGAATTGGGATGCCCTTCCATTTTTTAATGCATTGAAAGATGGGTTGGCATCTACCTGAGTCATCCTATTTCTCTTTTCAGAGAAATGCAACCTGATCATCCACGCTCAAAAAAAGTGACAAGTGATTGATTTTCCTTTTTCCATTTTCTTTCAGCTGTCTATATGTGTGAAATGGAAGAACAATGTCCTCAGTACTTTGAGAATAAAACTGAAGAGAGCTGGTGCCCTCTGTCTGATGTTTTGCCTGCTTCAAAAGGAATAACATATGAACTCTGTGCTGGTATTGTAGACCAGCCTGAGCTCTCTTTGGAAGAAATTGCTTGCAAGGAAGTTTTAGAAGAATGTGGCTATGAAGTTCCTGTAACCAGCCTAAAAAGAATCACTTCATCCAGGTTGGTAGATCAATGATTGAAAAACTAATCAAGATTTTGTAACATATGTTTCAATCTGCTAGATATTTTGACAGATTTTTTTCCCATTGGGTTTGTGTTTCCTTGGTTTGTTTGTGTTTTTTTCCCAGTCCCAAGTCCCCAGTAAAAGTAACAAATTCTTCAGGCCTTAGTAGATCATTGCAACTAGGCTGCAGTCACAAATAGTTAGAATGACTGGCCTTTATCTTTGAGCATCTGGGAATTGGTGGTAGTGACATCTGTTATAAGATCTCGGAAGATGAAGGCAAGAAGAAAGAGAATTGTTCCTCTTTGAACTTCATACCTAAGGCTTTAGGGCAATAAATCCCTTATAAAGCACTTATCAATTAATTATAATATTACTATATTGCCATATTTGAGAATGATTTGTGATATAAAAACAAAAGACATAGTGACCCCCCCCCCAAAGTTCAAATAATATCAATTAAACTGTCATAATACTGAAATATATTATTCTGATCCCATTCTGGCAATCCCAAATAAAAAGCTCTCTGCAACACCATTATTTTTACAATCTTCCTAAGAACATCAAGGTGAAACAACAGCACTTACCTCTAAGGACCACCTTTTCAAAAGTAGGACAGGGAGCCCTTAAGTACCCTACCTTTTCATTGAATGGGCATAAGGAACAGGAGGGATCTATTTACAAAAGGTGGTCCATTAACCATCGGGCCATATATCAGTATATAATAATTCAAAGTTTAACATAGAGGAGGACATGATTTACCATTGCTAAGAGTTTTACGGAGTGAGTGGCTAGAATAAATCAAACAAATAAGTAAATAAATAAATGTTCTCCTGCTACTAATAGAACTAAGTAAAGACTAAGTGACCACAGTTGAGCAGTAGCTTTGAGTAATGGGCCTGCTTCCTATAGGAGGAATGTGCAACCCTTCCAGACTAAAAGACTGTCAGCTGGCTTTTGGACAAAAATTGCAAGAAGACAGAATGCAATAAAGGCATAATAGAAGCCAATATCTTGTTTTCCCGCTTGGTTTTATGTAATATAGAGATAATTCCTTAAAAATATAATACTTATATAATCTAAGGGCACATTGTTACTATGCCGTATGCATACATACACAGTTTTAAGGTATTTTTGATATATAGTAATTCATTTTTTCAGTCACATATAGTAACAGTATCAGAATCCAGTATATATGAATCTATGCTAATTTGCATATAATAGTCATCTAGTGGCTCTCAAAGGATTCAGAAGTTTCCCAGTTGTGCTATTTAATTAAAACAAACAAGAGGGAGGGAGGGAGGGAGGGAGGAAAGAAAGAAAGAAAGAAAGAAAGAGAGAGAGAAAGAAAGAGAGAGAGAGAGAGAGAGAGAGAGAGAAAGTAAGTCAAGGACTGAGCTCAAATGTTCTACATGCTAGGTTTTGTTTTATTAGTAATCTACTGACTGTCTCTGGTCAGTAAATATCACCATAAATCTAATCCAATCTGCATTATAAACATGAACAAAAAGGCAAGGGAAACAATGACATTTTTATCACAGTCTGCACAGGAGTTCCAAAAGAAAAATTTACCTGTTGTGTTATATAATTGATAAGCAGTTTACTTCATTTTCTTTTTTGCACAGAGTTGATAATATATTTGCTGCATTTAATTTTCATAGAACTCCATCAATGTCCTCTTACATTCCAGGCCTGCCATCAAGGGAGTTTAACATGACTTTATCACCAAAAATGGTAACTCTATGTGCCTCGCCTCCTTACTTTTTTACCCAAGTTGGGATCTCATCACATTGCACATTTTTCTTGCCAGTAAACAACCTTTGAATTTAGCCAAAGGTAGGGAAACACATAACTGGATGAAATTGTATAACAAGCAACTAGTGAAACTTGAGTTGGGGCTGCTGTTATCACCAGCATCACCTTGAAAAAGTCCCTTTCTGTTTAGTTTTGTTTGCTGATTCTTAAAATTAAAAGCCCAAGACCACGCCAGTCACAGTCAGTCTAGACACATGGCTAAATCACCTATTTACTGCCAAAAGTGATTAAAGAAGGCAGTGCCAGAACAGTAAACAGTATTAGCCCTTGACTTCCTGCAGATGTAGGTATTTAGAGCTCTCAGATGTTCTGCCTTTTTAAATGCATTTGTTGCCTACAGCAAACACTTGTATCCAAACACACTGTTTTAAAGATTGTTGGGGTGGGCCATTTTCTGGCCCTGGGGTAATTGAAGGATTATTTCAGTTATTAATTATATTATGGGATCTGTTTTTTTTATTCCAAAGTTACTGTTGTAAGGACAATACCATTTTTATAAGGGATTTTAATATTATTGTTGTTTCATTGAAATTCCATCAGAAATAAGAAGAGAAGCCAACTCTGTGTGTGTGCGTGTGTGTGTTTGTAGAGTATTTGGAATTAAAGAAATGTCAGGAATTAAATACTCTGAAATGAAAATGTGCTCATAGCCTTCTGCCTCCCCAGATTGCAGTGAAAAAAAGCATCTGTTCTTATACTTGGAAATGCATTTCAAAATGTATGGAGAAAGTGGTGACTTTAAAAGGAAGCAAAACTTTGCTTTTCCTCTTGACAACTGTGTTAAAGTGGACAGTAACATTTTAAAAAAATGAAGGTAGAGGAAGGGGAGAAAAGGGGGAATTAAGTATAAATCCTCAGCTGCCAATCCTGGCAAATGTTGTTTCCTGTTGGATTAACAAGCTATTTGCTTAAAGAGAAAGGACACTGAACAGAGGAGAAGACTTTTGCTACTCCTCGAAGCCACATTAGAGGACTTATTTTATAGATAAAAAGGTGCTTTCTTTGGTATGGAATAAAGCCTGCAGTCTAGCCATGCTTTGTTGGGAATCAACCTCATTATATTCAGTACAGTACTTTTGAGAAAAAAATGGATAATCACACCTTAAACGTTGCATCTTGGAATTCTGTTGTACACAATATATCATTACCATTTTTTAAATCTGTAATTTAGAAATCAACCCTCAAAAAAAGTTTTGATGAAGTAAATTCTTCCTTACCACCATTCTAATCCACCATGTGGTATTATCTTGTATGTTGCAAACTAGTGTTAGCCAAGTAATTGGAAAGAAAGGTAACACTGAGATGAGGAAAGGGGGAGAATTACATAATGTGATTTGATATTGACTTGGGGAATTTATTTTTATCATAAATTGATTAGAATGCAGAGAGTAAATGGCATAAAAATAAATTGCAATCATCCGTTCAGGATGTTGCTAGATCTCAACAGTTCAGAAATGGTTGCAGCTAGTTACTATGCAAACAGATTCCTTATTACCTCATGCCACCTAGAAATCTGCAGAAGCTGTATTTAAAGTTCCCTTTCAGTCTTATAGACTTGCTTTCTCAGAGGGAATGCAACCCCAAGAGCCTATTTTTTTTACAGACAAACAGCACTTTTTATTTTCTGGATTTAATTTGTTTCCCCTCATATAGTCTCATATTATTGAAGTTAGGCAACTTTTTCAGTTAGATGGTAAGGAAAAGTCGACGTCCCTCATCTTCAAACTGTGGTTGCATTTCAAAAGTATATTGGATACCATACGAGAGCCTCATTTCATTTTTAGCTTTCTAAATTAATTTTCTTTTATGTTTTACAAGGGTCTTTAAACTTGGCAAGTTTAAGGCTTGTGGACTTCAGCTCCCAGAATTCCTGAGCTAATATGACTGGAGGAGGAATTCTGGGAGTTGAAGTCCACAAGTCTTAAAGCTGTCAAGTTTGAAGATCCCTGTTTTACAAAAATAAAATACAGTAAATGGAGTATAATCATATATAATGTAGTTATTTTTGTGCAGTGCTACATGCTGTATTGTAATCTATATGTGAATGCAATTTTAACCTCACTATACTATGGTGAATGACCGTAGTATAATTTAGTGGAATCACCTGCTAGTACACCTGCCTCTACAGATTATCAGAGTATATCATTTTGTGTCAATTGCTGCTATTCTGTGGGTACTGTTTTCCTGCACCTGCTACTTTAGCCTCAGAATTGTGTGAAGGTCTAAGAAATTACCTAGGGAAATTACCTTTATTGCTCACTGATTGTCTGTTCCTGGATTTGAAATGTAATACAAAGAACATGATGAGTCTACATAAATGTTGTATAAAATGTTTTTTTTTTATAATCTAGATTGTAGATTCTCCTAAATTACATTCTGTTAATGAATGAAAGTTAAATTTTCACTTAAGCATGGCACTTTATAGTACAATTAATGAGAATCCATTTTTAAGCATGAATATGAACATTCAGTAGAAAATTACCTGTCTTGTTCTGTTGTTATGCTTGGAGCTGCTGGTTGGAGGAAAAAAGAAAACGTCTTACATGAAAAAGTGTTACAGTATCGATTCTCCCAATAGAAGTAATAAGAAAGCATAAGGAAAAAGGATAAGGAAGTTACTTAAGATGGAATAAACTAAATTATGTTACAAAATGTCACACATAAATTTGTGGACATCGATTCTCCCAATAGGAGAATGAAAAGTATGAAAAAAGATGTTTTGTAAAATGATCACGAGAAAGAAGCTGGGATTGAGAAAAATTAGTGAAATTAATTAAAAATATATGAGAAACATTTGCTGCAAAAAATGAAGGCAAGGAAAAGATAGTTTTGTTTAAAGAAATGAAAAATAAATGGTAAAGAATATAATTAAAGACCAAAGAATGATTCATATTAAAAAGGCAGAGTTCAGAGTAATTTGGGGGAGCTGTTAAAACTGATTTGAAAGTGGGTAAAATAACAAACTTTCAATGTAGTAAGTAGAATTAAGAAAGTGATTATTTGGGTTTGTAGTTAATGCTGGAAAGAGGATTTGTATGGGAATGATTGAAGAATGGAATTAAAATAAATGATAATGCTAGTGTGAAAACAAAAATAATAAAAAGGGAATAATACATTTTGAAATGTATTTTAACACCCCAATAAGGTTGCAAGTGTAACTGCATACATAGCAATATAACTGAAGATATATTACATGCAGATGAGTTACCATGTATTAAGATTGCATCTGTGACTGATGTTTGGAAGAATAGCATTTTTCCTTTTATGAAAAGTGAAGTGAAAGGTTTTGCACATCTTGGAAAGGAATAATGTGCAGCCTTTCCCTTTGTTTATCATTTTTACATAGCTCCATTTATCTATACTGATGGCTCTGAAAAAGATAACAGTAGAAATTTACAATGGATGAGATGAAATCTGGTTGAAAACACTGAATCTTATCAAGAAAGCTGGAAGGTTTTTTTCTTTAAGCTATAGAGCTGGAAGCTGAGCATCCAAAATGCCAGAAGAAAAATAGCAACCAGTTAAATATGCCTAAAGCCCCAGCAACTGAAGCAGATAAAAATAATGCAAGGGCAGGGCCAGGAAAGGGTCCAGTGGTCACTGGCCTTTGTAGTTGGACTTGAAATAGAAAACTAAAACATACCCTAGTGAGACGGGCCCAGGAAGGGGTCAAGCATGTGAAATAGTCCTGAAGCAGACTGGTATGGTGACATGTGGCCTAACAAAGGAGGGGAGCGGTGGGAGAAGCCTATTGAAGAAGCCTCCATAGCAGGTATCTATCAGAGAGACCCAACAGCAGAAAACAGGTTCCAAGTGAGAAGATGCACTGATGCAGTTCTCATTATATCACGTAAGCATCTTCAAGCAAGCTTTTCACCAGCCTAGTAGTCCACAAAGGGGCTTGAGGAAGCACTGCAGGTAACCAGGACAAATAATGAAAATAACATTGAGTCATTCCTTGAAAGACAATCTATCCTCTAACCAAACTCCCAAGGGGCCAACTAATTAGGGTCAGTTATCACCTGTGCCTGTAACCATCCTGAGTGAAGTGAATTATAAAAGTTAATGCAACAAGTACAGGGAGATTAATTTGTTAAATTAATGAGGTTAATGTGTTTATTGGTGTATTTATGAAACCCATTATATTTATATGATTTATTTTTCTGGGGTTTGTTTTTAAGTTCAGGTTGCCTGTTTATGTATGTTTAATTGTTTTTATTGTTTTCTGGATTTTATAAGCTGCCCAGAGTCTAATGGTGTGAGCAGCTATAACAAATTTAATAAATTAAATATCCTGGCAATTATTTCTGGATTCTGAATGAAAAAGTGTAAGGTAAACATAAGTAATTAAAAACTTCAAAAATGTAGTCTGGTTTTATACCAAACAAAGGATGTGTAGGCAGGTGTTTGCTCTTCAAAAAGTCCTTGAAATATGGTTTAATATGAGAAGTGATCAATTGTATTCCTTTAGAAAAAGCATATAATCAAGTGAACATGTTTGACTTAGAGAATATTTTGTACAAACTTGAACTTTTAAGACTAATTGCTGAATGTAATACGAGCACACCATGAAGTACACTGCTCAAAAAAATAAAGGGAACACTTAAACAACACAATGTAACTCCAACACTTCTGTGAAATCAAACTGTCCACTTAGATAGACCTGAATCCAATTGAGCACATCTGGGACATCATGTCTCGCTCCATCCACCAACACTACGTTGCACCACAGACTGTCCAGGAGTTGCGGGATACTTTAGTCCAGGTGTGGGAGGAGATCCCTCAGGAGACCATCCGCCACCTCATCAGGAGCATGCCCAGGTGTTGTAGGGAAGTCATACAAGCACGTGGAGGTCACACACACTACTGAGCCTCATATTGACTTGTTTTAAGGACATTACATCAAAGTTGGATCAGCCTGTAGTGTTTTTTTCCACTTTAATTTTGAGTGTAACTCCAAATCCAGACCTCCATGGGTTGCTAAATTTGATTTCCATTGATAATTTTTGTGTGATTTTGTTGACAACACATTCAACTATGTCATCAACAAAGTTTTTAATAAGAATATTAAATATTAAATAAATGCGTTCATTCAGATCTAGGATGTCTTATTTTTGTGTTCCCTTTATTTTTTTGAGCAGTGTACATAGATGTGTCAGAATAAAGGGGTTGTTTACCAAGTGGTTTATAACTGAGCAGGGAGTAAGGCAAAAAGATATGTGATATCCTCTTGTTTGTTTAGCATGTTTATTAATAAATGTATAAAGGATACGTGTAGTGACAACAGAAGTATTGGTTGAGAACATTAATGTAGATGTACTTTTGTATGGAAACAAAACAATGTTGCTGGCTGAGACCTCAAGTTGTTCGTAGTGAAATTAGATAGATATTATGGTATAATGGGTTAAGAATCTAAAAATAAATCTATCACAGATCAGGATAGTTGTATGTGAGAAAATGAAATGTAGGATTGCAAAGATGGATTTGTGTACCCTGGAAGAATACTTACTAAGCATGGAAAATGAATGGGAAAAATTAAAATGTGCACATGCTGGTAGAAAAATAGTAGATAGTAATGTATGTGATCTATTCAAGGAATGAATACTTGCCAAAAGAAGTGAAAGTGCCTATGTAATATATATCTACCCACTTCGTTAAACAGAAGTGAAATTTGCAATGCAGGAAAAATGGGGTATTTAAAGAGTGTTAGTAGTAAAACAAGCATGAATACTTGATGAATGAATGTAGATAGAATACAAAAGTGAGTGGCAGTATGTTGCAAAAATAATATGTTAAAGTGGTTTGTTCATATAAGAGGATGAAGAAGGATCAAATTGCAAAACAAATATATGAAAGAAGAGTTACTACATCAAGAGGATTTGTGATTGCATGCTGTTTATCAGATCTTCCAAACTGAGAGTTAAGAAGTTTAAAGAACAAAGGGCAACATATGAAGCAGAGTATGGACTTCTATTCTGCCACAGTCAAGATAATCTTGGTGGTACATAACACAATTCTGGACAGAATATTTACAATAAAAGTATTTTAAAAATCCATGTTGTAAAATATGTATGTGTGTGTATAGACATAATATACGTGTGTTGGTGAGGCAAGTAAGAAAGATTTCCAATAATAGAAATTTATGAATAGACTGAATTGATAATGAAATGGATATAGTTACAATGTTTTCCTTTGTTTTTAATTTCTTGTTCTAACTTATTCATCACAATTTCTGGAAAGCAAATAATGTGTACCTATGTAAAACTAAGGTTTACTTAATCTTACATTATTTGTTATTTCTTTTCCATCCCACAAGATCTGGAGTTGGTTTGACAGGATCAAAGCAGACATTATTTTACGCACAGGTAACTGATGACATGAAATCTAGTGAAGGAGGTGGCCAGCCGGAGGAAGGCGAAATGATTGAAGTTGTGGAAATACCTCTGCAAGATTCCATGAAATTTGCATATGATGAGACTTTCCCTAAAACTATGGGACTTATCTTCAGTTTCATGTGGTTCCAGTCCAACATAGCACCAAAACTGCAAGAAAAATAATGCACTAAGAGATTCTGGAGACATGAAGCAAAAAGATGGGGCCATATTGGAATCAATCTTTCAGGACTGTCTAATTCTTAAGTTTGTTATAGCAAAGGTTCATAAAATTCATATGCTAACAGTGGCAGATAAGTAACTCAAGGTTAAACATATTTTTCAGCCCATATTTTATTTCTCATAGAAAGAATTTGAGGGAAAGAAGTTTGCAATACTTGAAAGTTGCCCAGTCAGAAACACAGTTTTATTATGAGAACTAATAGAAAAACATAAATGGATAATTTATCATGAGATAATTGAATGTTGTCAGGGAAAATGTAAAATCAAAAGAAGAATTGGCAAAGAATTACAATTGTTAGTGGTTACTTTATTTTCAGTTATTAAAAAGATTTAAAGTAGACAAAAGAATTTGTGGTTCTGAACATTGTTAGAATGAGTTTGAAATAGAATTGTATACAATGATGAGCACACAATTGCTAAAATGTATAATAGAACATTTGTAGCTCAGGGTTGACCTGTGGAGTTTTTGGTGCTCTCTAAGATTGGTGATTCGCTTGCAGATGTTTTATTACTCAACTGCCCAACATCAATTACCCAACATCATCAATGTTTGTGAGTGTGAGGTTTGCTCTGTTTACATGCAGTAGCTTACTCTGCCAGTGTACATATAAAATGCATAAACATTTACTAAAATTTGAAGAAAAAAAAGAAAAATGTGAAAAATGTATGAGTGAACTAAAATTTTTGAAAAGAGTTGGCATTATCCACATGGATAAGAATAGTTGATGAAAGAATAGTTGATGGAACTTAATGAGATGGCTAAATTGACATTTTCATCAGAGAAAAGATAATGTCTATGTTTATTGCTGACTGGAAGCCCTTTATGGACTTTTTGCATGAAACAGAGCTGCAATGGACCAAGAAGCCCTGAGCTGCAGCATATTTTTTCCTGACCTTCCTTCACTTGTGCTGAACTATAGCATTCCTTTAACTCACATGTGGTCTACACTGGGCCCATCCTTCTATGGCACGCCACCCCCTTTAACCTGATTAACAACACACATACCTGGAGTTACAACAGTAAACAGGAACGCTGAGATTTCAGTCACCAAGCAATACAGTCACATGACCTTTTGCTTTATGATCATGTTGCTTAGCAATAGAAATTCTATCTCAATTGTGGTCACAAGTTGAGGACTACTAGTATAAAAAGAAGAGATTATGCTGCAACCATAAAATAAAATAGTAAATTTATGTTTGTAAAAAAGATTTGAAGCTGCTGCTTTGTATCTTCTTTCTTTTCTAGTTTTATTTTTTCCTTTCTTGCACTTTTAGCTTTCTCTTTGATTTTTTTCTTATTTTTTCTTACTTTGTATTAGTTATTATCTTTTTAAAATATTTAAGAAAGTTATGTTAATTTTTAAATACTTTTAAAATAAAACCAAACTTGTGCGTGTGTGTACAAAAACCTCAAAAATCATAGCTTAGGGAATTTAGAATGGACAAATGAGAAAGAGGGGAGGATGCTTAATCTTTCCCTTTTCTGCATTTTGTTTGCTTCAAAGGCACTTTGGGGCAACCACTGGACTCCGTCCATTATTCACTGCAGCAGCTTCACTCTAGTGGGTACTGACCTCCCTAGACAACCAGTGCTCCTTTCAGCTGGCCAGTGGGAGAGCGCAAAACTAGGGCAGCTCCATTTGCCAACCTCACTCTTACTTAAGAAGTGTTTCTCTTTACAGTGTGGCACCCAGAATCCAACTGGCCAATATATATCATATATATAGTCCCTTTGTCAGACTATATCGAGGATTAGGGAAGGTTACAACAGACACATTCTTTGTAGGAGGAACAGGAGAATCTCAGGAGTTGGGGAAAGATGAGAATTCCCATCAGATGGCAAATGCTGCCCAGCTCCAGAGAAAACTCTGCAGAAGTAGTTTGTCAAATGTCCCAGGCTCGGGTTCCTAAACCCCACAAATGGCACACAACATCATTAAGTGATCCTTATATCAAAGAGAAAAGGATATGGGCCTGGTACCAGTACCTGAGATCTGCTCATGCTTTTTTTCTGGAAGAAAATCAGTTATTGTAATTATCTAGGGTTCTTGTTGATCCTAGACTCAGCATAGTTTAGGGGGAAAAGTCCAGGCTGCTGGGGTGATTGCCTTCAGAGCACTGAGCTTATTCAATGGCTTATTCATTGAGGACACTAGTTGAGAAAGTAAGAGGTACCCTTGTCAGTGGTGTATGACCCCCTACATGCTCTATCCTAAATTATACTGCTGACCCTATATGTTAGTTTAAACTCCACTGGATTTTCTTCCTCTGTTGTTTCACAGAAGGCTCCCCTTAATATATAATCTCATTCACTAACCAGGATTGACATTGCTTAGCATTTTTGAGATTAAACAAGGTTGACTACGGGCTGCTTGGATGACTGTTACAAGAGAGGAAAGTGATAGAGGTGGTTTCTCAAGGTAAATGAGGGAGATGGGCAGTCTAGAAATGTGGAAAAAAATTAAAATAATATCTTATCAGTGAGTTTTATTCTGTTCAGAGCTTAACAGCTGCACAATAGTGATAATAATCTAGCATAGCTCTATTCCATGTCAGAAATTTCACAAGAAATGCAGTACCAGAAGCAAGGGCAACCTTTCTGTTTAACGTGTACATTAATGGTCTCAAGTATTGCCTTCTTCTGAATGTATGACATCTTCTAATAGTTTCTCTTGACCTTTCAATTTTGAAAAGATTGGGGAGTGGGTATTATAGACAGTATTTTCTATTATTTTGACATTTGTCCGATGTTCTAGACCGGGGTAGTCAACTTTTTTATACCTGCCGCCCACTTTTGAATCTCTGTTAGTAGTAAAATTTTCTCTAACCGCCCACCGGTTCCACAGTAATGGTGATTTATAAAGTAGGGGACAAAACCCCTACCGCCCACCATGAAAGCTGGAACGCCCACTAATGGGCGGTAGGGACCAAGTTGACTACCACTCTTCTAGACACTATCTAAAGTTTATGTTATTTTTAGAATTAATGTTTACCATTTTAAGCTTGATCGTGTTTATTTATTTTAATGTCTTGATTTGATGTTTTAGTCATTCCACTATTTTAATTTTAAATCACATTAAAAATTTGATCAAATTGAAACATAGGATATTATAAGCATTCAAAATAAAAACAAATGGTATGGCATGTTCGTTATTCTCATAAATAAAATGGTTTTTTTTCCCTCATTTCCAAATTAAGACACAGGGATCATTCATCTGACAGCTAAAATTATGCTTTAACTTTAGAACTGCAACTTTCAGTAATGCTGTGAAATGTGCCATGACTGTAGGCCCTGAATAGAACAGCCATCCTTCAAAGCAGAAGAAATCTAAATTATCTTCAAATGAAAGCAAAGCAAAGCTTCTCCTGATCTCAAATGTGCTGTTCACTCACTGCATTAGCATTAATTACCATAGCAATGCTATCTGTGTCAGGAGGATGATTTAAAATGCATGTTCCAAAGCAACTTATCTCCAGAGATGTGCTGTACAAGAGACAGACATTCTTCAGTAATGCTGTCAGCTGAGGCCGTCCCTGCTCCACTGGTATTCTGTGGCTGATAGCAATAGATGATTGGCTTTACTCAGCACTGAATTAAAGCCCACAGTAATGTGCAGGATCATATTCCTATCACCAAATATAGGCAGCATCTACAGGATCTATATTGTGTGTGTGGAGGGGGTGGGATATTTCTGAGGCATCAACATGTAGGTTTCTTAGGCATACATTGAGCATACATTGAGATATTTCTTGGGCATCCACTGAGTTTATAATAGAATCAGGTATTCAGTGTGGTACTTGCAGGAATTGTAATTTCTGAATTTAAAAGTAAATGTGATTTACCACGTGCTTTAATATGAACACATGCCATAGTCACATTATAATGCCCTGGACTACATGACACATGGCTGCTTTGCTTCACAATGCCTTGATGCTGACCCTTCTATTTCAGCTTGGAGGCGAGCAAAAGGCCATTTCAACATGGGGTGTTGCTCTAATTCCTCCCAGAAAGTGAGAAGTTGCTTTCTAGAGCTTTACCAACAAGCCACTTTGTCAAAATCTTGATAAAAAGGTTCCCCTCATAGTGCTTTGCTTGTTATATGTTTTTCAATGACAATAACGGTCCATGCATTGGCAGAGCCCTATTTATATGGTTCAGTCAGGAGTGAACCATAACCCTCTTCCCAATAAAGCATGCCCAATCATAAATTTCTTCTTCCCACTTGAAGTCAAAGAAGATTTTAAAAATATTCCCAAATAGATTCTATAATTTAAAAGAAACCCCACAATAAAGACTGCAACAGCTCTAGTCTAGGTACAAAAATTTCAGTCACTGGGGGAAAGTCATCAAAATTGAATGGGAACAACTGAAATATTGAGAGATGCATAATATCAAGAGAATGGATAAGAGAATGCATTTTATGCCAATCAGCAAAGGTCCATGCAAACAGGATTTTATACATATCCATTGCTGCTGATATCCCATCTTTGGAACCAATACAAATAATATCCTGTTATGCAGACTGATTAAGTTTACATAACTCTAATGGTGTTATTGGCCTTCCATTAATTTTGGCCCTATTCCAAATAAACACATTCATTATTAGAAAAGGGCCTAACAGCACATAGGTAGCTAATTTTAAGAATATTGGAGATCAATTCTTAGTCCTGTTTTCTGAATGCTGTTTAGTAAGTTAACCTCTGGGGAATGGGTGTGGGAATAGACAAATACAATTTAATTGGCTTAAGGTGATAAAATCCTTGTCTCATGCCTGGACAAGACCAGACCATAGTTTTGTTCTTATGCTTGACTGAGGGACATTGAATTAGATATATCAGAGTGAACATACACAACTTTGCACTATGATTTCCCATTTCTGCAACCCCAAATCCATGCGTGATCAGCTGTCCAGAGTTGTTGCCCAAGTTTGTTATCATGGGCAAAGAGAGAGAGAGAGAGAAAGGGAGACTGGCCTAAAGTTACCCTTCCATACCTACGGTGGGCCTAGAATCGGGTGGGCTGCTGGGGGTTCCCAGGGGCTCAGGTGATCCCCTAGCTAAGACTCTGCGGGGCTCAGCAAGCCCCCAAACCCACTCCTGGCTGGCCCCACCCCACCTCACTCCCTGTATCTGGCTTTACGCCACGTTTGCATGTAAAGCAGCCTTCGCTTCCCACTGATTCGGGCTCAGTCAAAGAGCTGCCGGCGGGGGCGGGGAGGAAACAAGGCAAGGCGATGGCCAGAGCCTTAGTGCAGAAGCGAAGTGGCCCTATGCTGTTTTCAATCATGAAAAAGGGAATTCTGTGAACTATAGTACTGGTGGGATACCAGAAACCCTAATTTGCTAATGAAATGGCTAACTAATGGAAATTGATGGAGTATTTATATATACTTTACCACAAACATAAGCAGCATCACCAGGTCACAGTCACATACATTGCAGAACTCATAAAAGAATTATGGTTCCTGGCTGCCAAAGGATTACAACTTATAGCAGGTCCAGCCAAGTGATTGTCCAATGCCTGGACTCTTTGCAGGCCTGGGTTAACAAAATAGGACTTAATACTACCAAGATCAGGTGGCTATGGATATTAGGGCCTCCTGGACCCAAGGATTGTCTAGCTAGTCTCAATGGAGTAGCACTTGCCAGGAAAGACTGGTATACAAGCTGAGGTCCTCTTGGACTCACAGCTGGTGTTTTGAAAAACAGAGCAACTTTGACAGAGGGCATCTTTCTGGAGCTCCATCTGGAGCACCATTTGTACTCCTTCCTGGATCTGGAGGTCCTTCATTCAGTCACTCGTGCCCTAATCACTACTACAATGTGCTGTGCATGGGCTTCCCTTAAAATCCAGTCAGAAGCTTCAGTTAGCCCAAAATGCCATGGCAATGGTAGCAATAAGCATGCTTCAGGATGCCCATGTGACACTGCTGCTTCATGAATTGGTTGCCAGTGTACTTTGGGTTGTGATTCAAGATGCTGGTAATTATCTGTAAAGCCCTACTTGGCACAGCATTGGGATATTTGAGGGACTGTCTGTCTCCCATAGTTTCTGTGTAGCCAGTACATGCCAGCAGTTCTGACATACTCTGGATTCCTTTGATCAAACACTGTGGTCTATCAGGACCCAGGAAATGTTCCTTCTCTGTTCCTGAAACCCATGTAATCCATTTTGTTGTCATTCTGTAAGGTCTTGAGGAAACAGTT